ATTTCACAGACACCAGAAGTTGAGAAGATACTCCCTGGCCCATCATGGTTGGGCACAGCACTGCAGCCTGCCACAGTGTTTTTCTGAACTGGAATCAGCAGGACTGCCTTATTTCTCTCAAGGATGTAGCCTAGTCCTCCTCTAACATTTCTTCATTCTTATTCCATCCATCTGTCTAACTCCTTTGGCATTTTATTAAGAGACCCAATGAGGTCTGCTGAATGCCTCTGCCTCCTTGGATGTGTCTAACAGGAATGTGTTTTTCCTGTTTTGGACAAGTAAAATGGGAAAAAGCATACACAGACATCACAGTAACATCATCTTCTATTGATCTCCACTGAATCTAGGTACCTCACAGATGTGCTTTGTTGGTTTAAAGTTATTTTGAGTGGATACTTGTCAGGTGCCTTCTCTCTCATTTTCATCTCCTTACAAGAGAGACAGTTCTGTGTGAAAACACAACTCCTTTTTCTCAAAAAAAAAAAAAATTTCCAACCACTGCACAGCATTTTGGGGGTTTTCCACTGAAAGCAATACGAAATTACTCTGAGCAGGTACAGACCTATTCAACTACAGGTGGAGTAATGATGTTCCTCCTGCAGCAAAACCATGACCTACATCTCACACACATCAAAGTCATTAAATACCCACCACGCACTTAGGATTGACATTCATCAGAGGATCTGACATCTCTCAAGTCTCCACACTTCCCCCTTTGACAGAAAGGGATGGCATCAGCAATGTCACATTGGCCCTCTGCCATTGGGCACCATGTTGCATCTCACTGTTTGAGGAAAGTGTGGAATTCAAAGCTGGGAATGGGGCAAGCTCACTTGAAGGAGCAGAACTTGGGAGGGCTTAGGAAGCACTCAGCAATGAAGCTGAGACAGGAATGATTCTCAAACTCTGCAAAACCAAATGGTCTAAGGCTCTTCTCAGTGACAACCCATATACAGCCATCCAAACCCAAGTGTTCCCTTTGCCTTTCAGATAAACAAACTGCCTAAAAAGAAAGAGCAGTCCCAGTTGCATTGTCAAGGCTGGGCTATCTCAAGATAGTACTGATATAATTGCATATATAAGCTAACACAATAACAGCTAAGGATCCAGTTACTAAATTCAAATCTAAAGGCCCTTGGTATCTACACTGACCATATTTGCCTGTAGCCCTGTTTCAGACCCATCTGTGACAGGATTCATACTTCTGCTTTTCCTTATTAACACCTTTTTCCTTATCTTTCTTTTTTTTCCTTCTCTGCTGCTGTTTGTTTTTATCATACATCTTTCAAACTGGAAATGGTAGCTAACAATTAAGAATAATTATTTTATTGGCATGCTGTCTCTACAGTGCCACTCCCCAGAAGAAAATAATGAGTCAGCAATGGTAATGCTAAATGATTTATAGGTTACCTTGTTCTGAGAGACACCTGAGCCCTTCTTCACACAAACATCCAGCACTGATTATAGCCAGAGCACTTGCTTGGGTGAACCATTAGTCTATCGTAGCATAGAAATCCCTATAGTGGCTATAAAAAAATATTTATATATCTATAAAACCAGGATGCTTCAGTCTAGTGAAAGCACTTAGATCCTTTGATGAAGAACAACATATAGAAGTTGAATGTATGGTGAAAAGAAAGACGACATCCTTGCATTTTGAGATCAGTAGTTCTTTCCAGCCGTCTGTGAGGAAAGCCCATCAGTCTGATGATTATCTGAACGTATGTGGAACATTGGTAAAAAGCTGAGAGAATTCCATTATGTATAAGCTGCTTAAAAAAAGTGGCTCACTTAAGGTTATTACATTGCTGCTTTGGGTTATTTTTGTTTAATTCAAACTCTGCAGTGGGTGAGACTCAATTTCAGTTTAAACAATCACTTCAGTGCCTTATCTTTCTCATCATCTTCTGTACCTACAAAATTTGCAGTGTGGGATTCAGATAAATAAATACATGATTACACACACACTCCCTCATCATTTTCTCCATGACATTCTGTTTTCTGTGAATAAAGAAAATGTCTTTCAAGGTATCTTTTTCCTTCTTCTTTTAAGTGAATATTTTCCAATAGGCCTGTCTGTCTAGAACAGATTAACTATCTCACCTTACTCTAAGGTGAAAGCACAATTTTTGGTGTCAGAGGCTCAATATTGAATCCACAGAAGTTTTGGTTTAGAAATCTAAGAAAACACTTCTAAAGAGGTTTCTTCAACCTGTTCCATCTTGAAGTTATAATAATTGTTCATTGACCCAGGAAGCTGCTTAAGAGAAAAAGCCTTACTTGATGAAATAAGATAAACTGATTTTGCCCCATAAAACATTCATGTTTCATGGAATCATTAAGGTTGGAAAAGACCTCTAAGCCCATTCAGTCCAGCCATGGACCCAACATACTGACTGCCACATCTCCACAGTTCTTGAAGACCTCCAGGGATGACAGCTTCACCACTCCCTGGGCAGCCTGTGCCAGTGCCTCACCACCCTTTCTGAGAAGAAATGTTTCCTACTACCCACTTGAACTACCTCCATTGGCACAGCCTGAGGCCATCATCTCTCATCCTGTCTCCATTAGCCAGCAGCAGAGCCTGAATCCCCACCTCACCACAGACTCCCTTCAAGCATTTGTAGAGAGCAATGATGTCTCCCCTCAGCCTCCTCCTTTCCAAATCAAACCATCCCAGTTCCCTCCACTGCTCCCCATAAGACTTGTGCTCCAGACACTTCAACAGCTTCATTGGCCTTCTTTGGGTATATTTCAGGGCTTCAATGTTTTTCTTTTAATAAGGGGCCAAGATTGAGCTGATATTTGATAGCTTTTAAATTACTGTGCCTCACCCAAGTCCCTACTGTCAAGTCTGCAAGTTGCTACCACATGTCCTGAATGCAAACTCTGGACACCCAAAGGAAATACTATGACCATGTCCTCTTGAGAAAAAACCTTCCCCTAAAAGAGCTGGCTAAACACAATACCAAAGTAATAGCAATCAAACAGATAAACAAAGCTGTTGAATGAAAGCATCCAGAATGAATACTCCCATAAAGGTAGTGAAAACAGAGTATTAAAAAACATGGGGCAAGAAACAGCTATCCAATTAGGAAAGCTTTTCACAAAGAAACTTACTTCTGGGAACATGTTTTAACATTCTATTTTCATATTCTTAAGATTTCCTAAGTCCATGTAAGAACAAAGTTACACCCTCTATAGATCTCCTTCAAACAGCAACTGTCCTATCCATCCTCTGTCTTCACACTTCAGTGAAACTGCAACCAGAACTCAATCCAAGCCACCCAGACTCTGGTTGCCCTCCAACATCATGGCAACAGTTCCCAGTCCAAGCACCATGTGGCTTTGCTCTCATCACATGGTACCTTTCCATTTGGGGGGGGGGGTGGCAAAGGGCTGAGGTCTGTGAAACAACACAGAATTGTTCTTTCAGGCATGCTCTTCATTTCCCTAAATTAAAGGGAAGGTGCAAAAATTTAATTGTGCTTCCCTCTGAGCCTCCTTACGGAACAGTGGATTGGGTTAAATTGTGAATGCACTTTAATTCTGCCTCTTATAAGCTTATCACAAGTCTAGTACTCATTACGCCCTCTGTTTTTTCTCCTGAGACTCCATAGAAATACAACAGTGTAACTAACACTTTTCCTCATTTAGAACCACAGGTGGTGGGAGTATGTGTGATTTCATTGTCTTTACTTGGTAATTACAGGTCTGTGCCTATTCCCACTGTCTCAGCAGGGTGCCTGTGTGGTACACATAGTTAGGTCTTTTCAGGTGCTTGCTAGGTGGATTAACAGGGAGCACTGTATCACTGCACTGCAGTACTGTTCTGGCACGCCTGTGACCACTGCATGTTGAGGGATGCTGGCACACAGACTGCTTGTATTGACTCAGCAGTGCTGTAAAGGTGAGGACAGCTGGGATTCAGGTGGTTCATCTTGCAGAGAGCATCTCCACATTCATTAATGCTGTACTTCTGCAAAGGGAGCAAAATGCACTGAGCTTCAGCTGTCGCCACCCCCTGAGTGCACACATTGCACCAACTTTCCTACTTTCCTTCTTTTTCCCAGCTAAAGATGTCTGAGAATGGGACATATGATAAGCAACAGAACAACAGCAATGGAATTGATGCAGCCTATGATTTAATGCATGTGACAGACCCATTTAAAAATGTAAATATTTTAATTCTTTGATTCAGCTTCTGATTCCTCCAGACGTTTGCAGTTGATAAGCCAGGCTCCTTTCAGGTTCTGCCACCTTTTATCAGTGCACATTATGTTTGTTAGACATAAATCAATGTGTAGTAGGAAGGGACACTGTGTATACATACAACAAATTTGTCAGTATGTTAACTGTATGTTAATATACCACATTCATGTGGAACTTTGAAAAATATGGTAGCCTGAGCCAATGCTGCTGACAGAGCAGATCCTTTCTGAGCTTCTCTTTGAATTCTCTTTTCTATTTGAATCAGGATATTTGCATGAAGGCCAGAAGCTCTCTTTCTCCTACTAAGGTAATTTTTGCCTTTCCACCACTGGAATGGGCCTGTGAGTTCAAAGACTGAATTCAGCAGAGTACATAAGCATATGCTTAAACTGATAGGATTAAACCTTGGGTAAGGTAATTAAGCTTGGAGCACATGTTTATCCTTAAGCACAGGCTTAGATGCTGTGCTGAGTAAGGAGTGCAGAATATTTGAAGCATCCCAAAGCCTTCCTCCCCCACAGGCCTCTGACTCCATAGCTGTCTCCTGGTTAATCAAAGACAGTGTTGTCTTGTACAGCACACAGAGATGTGCCAGGTTGCTAAGATCATAGAACCATTAAGGCTAGAAAAGACAACTATGACAATCAAGTCCAACCATTAGCTTATCACCACCACACACACTACACCACAAGCAGGAAAAGAAAAGGCAATGGCAATAACCAGTTCTAAATTGCCAAAAAAAAAAGCAATGGTCACAATGCAATCAAAAAAAAGAAATATTTGCTTACCTGTCCCAAGGATCAGAGCTTGCCAAAACCTCCAGAAAGCAGGATCTCCAGGTAGAAAACCTATCCTTGTTCCAGCCAGCCCTTAAATGAGGCTTAGGGAGCCTGGTTCCACCCCCTTCAGGTTGCACAGGTGGATTGCTTTCACCTGTGCTCCCAGGCCAGCTGTATCCCTTTACCAGGTGCTCAATCAGTGATTCAAGCCCTGACCTAGCAATTCCCACTCACCATGTCACTCAGTATGGTTTAATAAATACCCTGATGTCTTCAAAGAAATCCTGTAGGTGTGCAAAGCTCTTCTGAAGCATCAGGAATTGAGGAGGACTTCATCTCCAATGTACAGAGAGAGAGTAAACCTGGCTGTATAAGTGAAAATGAGACCCCAGAAGGATATGGTTCAAAGATACTCACAGGAAGGGCTAAGTATGCAGTTTTAAGGGGTTGTCATCTTTGTATTAGCACGTTACATGTGGCAGATGGTCAAAAGTCAGTATCTGAGGTGCAGACACCTCATTTCTTTGGGAGCACTTGAAGTTTGAAACCCACAATATGCTTTTGACACCACCCATGGGCAATTTAACGTTCAGAAGCCACATAGGAAAGAAACAATAGCTGAACTTTTTACCAGTCGTTCCCTGCAATCAAAAATAGAGGTGATTTATAGCTAACACAAAAGTGTCACCTCAACGATGGACAGTAAGGGAGTTTGCCACTTGTCTCTAGGAATGACTGCTCTTCTTTATCTATAAATCTGAAGTGCCTTAACAAAAATCTTTGGCATTGGTCTGAAAAATTCATTGTTTCCAACCAGTGGCTTAAATTCCAGTGACAGTACTCCTACCTCTTTCCATCCAAAAGATAGCTAACCAGAAAGATGGCTGATAACATATGGCAATCGATGGAGTTGGAACCGTCCCTGTGGTGAACCAGCACCTCAGTACACACTGATGGCAAGGATAAAGCCAGTCATGTTACCACTGTAATGAAGAATTCATGCTGAGAAAGCACTGGAAAAACATCTGTAACTATCCATGAGAGAGGAAAAAATCTCTCCTCTTTCTCTTTGAGAAGGAGCTAATCTTGAGGATCTTGGTAAGGCACTGACACAAGTTGACCTGAAGACAGCCAAGGTCAGGCTGGATGGGCTCTGTTCTATTGCAGGTGGGTTGCATCAGATGGACATTAAGTGTTCCATCTAATTTAAATGATTCTATGATTCTATGATTTTGTACTTGCAATTTCCTTTGTGGACAATCTCACCATAACTGCAGTGCACCATGAGGCTGAGCTCCTCTTCTGCTGGATTTGTTGGCCTATGGCAGGGCAGAAGCACATGCATGATCCTTGTAAGAGCCACTGTCATCCAAACACTTTCATTTGCAGCACTCACCAGGTCCTGCTCCCACTGAAGGCAGGGGAATATCTGAGAATACATTTTGTCCCTCCACTTGCCCGTGTTTGTAGTACAAAAGCTAAATGTGTAGACCTATTTTTCTCCAAGGGAACACAGGAAATGCTGTACATAATAGAAATCATGTTCTGCAGACCTCTCTCTATAAATAAATAATTCCAATGTGTCCCAGCCCATCTCATAACCCCCTCCTTTCCATTTTGCTTCCTTTTTTTTTTTTCTCTATTTTCTATATTTCTGCTTGTAAGTGTTACTATTTAAAATGTGAACACCTGAATGATATTCACCTGATGTCTGAAATGATATTTTTTATGTTGTGAGTATTGGAGAAGGATGCACAAGACATCAGCAGAATGTTGCATCATGGGTTATAGATTGCTGCTCAGCAGTTGGTGGGTTGCCTATTTCTTTTAATTGCTGATACTGAACTTTCAGACACTGCTGATCTTATGACAAATTTTTTTACTTTCTTTTCTGCAATTAAGCAATTTAGCTGACAGTTTTTTTAATAAAACACTCAATTGTACAGATAGACACAGGCCTTTATATGTATCAGTGCACACATACATGCACAAATCCTGTATATCTTACAGTAGTTCTGAAAAGGAAGATTTACTTCCACATAAATGTAAAGCATTCCTTGTACTACCTGAACACACTAAAATTTTGCTTTCAAAATGAGACTTGGTTTGTGAAGATTTATTTTCCAGTCATTTCTTTTAGTTGAAATGCCCAAATAACCACGTAAAGGCAGGCTTTTGACAGTTTTTGTGTGTGCATGTATGTGTATACGCACTGTATTCGCTGTCAGTGTGCACGTCCCAATTCCTTCTGAACTCCAAATAAATTGGGCTCACCTCCAACCATTACAGCTTTAAGGATTATAAGTAATTGCACCATTACCCTTCTCATTTGTTTAATTTTTTTGCTTCAGCCTCTTCTGTTGGTTTATCATACATGCAGTCTAATTAAAGTTTCCTACAGGACAGTTCATCCAGAATAAGTAATGACATTGCTCAGAAGGGCTCTGGTTGCATTTTTTTTCCTTCCAACTGTGCTGAAAGGGTGGTTGCTGTCTAAAAAACTGCGTCTGGGCTGAAGAGACAGTTCTGTAATTGCATTTCCAGTCTTCTTTGTATTCTTTTGTGTTATATGCTTGTACAAAGAGAGACTGGACAGGCCGGTTGGATATCAGCCAGGCAGAATTGTCAGAGAGAGAGGCTGGGCTGAAAATGAAATAGGAAAGGGGGAGAGAAATAAAAAATATCAAGAGGGTCTCTCAGAACAATGACTTAAGAAAGTGAAAGTGGAGGAGAAAATAGCAATTTCTCTTTGTGTCTGCTTCTGAGGTTTTGAAAATTGTCTTTTGAAAATTGTCATTTGCTTTCTGTTCATTGTTGGTTGGTTTTCTTTTTTTTTTGTTTTGTTTCGTTTTTTTTGGTTTTGTTTGCTTTGTTTTCTTTTCCTTTTCCCCAGTTGTGACAGAGAGAAGTCAAAGTATGGGGGATGTGTATTTCAGAAATGGAGCTGGGACAAAATGTTTGTTTTCCAACTAAAGTCCGAGTGCTGAGAAAGCAGGGTGTGTGCAAAGGGGACGGCCAGGGCTTGAGAGCTGAGGATGTGGCAGTCTGGAGGTTGTATGGAGACTTGGGGTGGGACTGGGAACCCTCCATCCGCCCTCAACATTTCTGTGATTCTGTTAAAGGCTATCACAAAAACATCCATCTATGAGCACTAGCTATCTGTATTCTCTGTTCCAGAAAGCCCACAAGTCACGGCCAACCGGCTTTCACAACTGGTAAACAAAGAAACGAAAGAATAAAAGAGAGGCAAAAAAACCCTTCGAGCCTTGGGATGCTGTTATTTCTACAGGGGCAGACAGAGAACAACAGAAATGAAAGGAGAAAAGCAGATGCGGGTCCGAAAGTAGCTGAATGGAGAGCACGTCTCTTCCACACTTCCCTTGAAGGCACGGTGTGTAGATGTACTTTATTCATAATGACAATATGATGTGATTCATAACAATTGCTTCTCCCAGTAAATTATTCTAAGATGTGTTGTTGTGCCACGTTGCAACGGCACAAATGAATGATGTTAAAATACTGAGCAGACAAAATGATAACACCTGTTACAAAGCCACTTATAAACTAGAGTGCACAGAGGCATTTGTACCTGTCTCTATCTCACATCATGAGTTACACATCTTAGGATGCTTTATGAAGGAGAAGGCAATTTCTGTTATTCTGTATTAAAACATTTCTCAGCGTTCCTTTAATTTACAGACATCCTCTCTCTGCTTACTTGACATCAGCTCCTGCTCTCTGGTGGATTGTGTGGGGGAAAATTCACAACTGGCTCAGTGCTCAGATTTCCCTGCCTGGGTCAGGTCTGGGAGGAACAGCATAACAATATCTCCAAATGTATACTGGTACTGTTAATCCTGTCCAGACCTGCTGTAGCATGTAATCACTCAGGCTGGAGAGGTTCAGGGAACCACCCCCCTTTCCACTATGAGTGGCAACACGTGCTGATGGCACTAGCTTATAAAGATAACGAGGTCCTTAATTTCTACTGATTTGCACTGGTGCTCAGTCCAATAGGTCAGTGCCATCAAGGGCCTGCTCCCAAAAACTAAGTGATTGTTTCCAATGTCAGTGGAGAAGCTGTACTGACTGGGACATGCCCTGGGCAGGGCACTGACTGTTCCTCAGCCTCTCAACACAGTCTCAAAGAACTGATGCCATTCAGCACTGAGCACTCAAACAGCCCATGATGACACAGCACTTTGCTTTAGGAATGACACTGGTTCCCAGCAAGAGCAGAGATGCTGGAAAGTCCCCTCCTGCCACACTCTCCTGACAGCAGTGGGTACAGGGTGCTGTTGCCACCATAGAGCAACAGATGGTTAACCCCTCACACTGTTGGCTGAATAGCTACCCTCAAAGCAAAGCCAGGAGAACAGTCTTTTTTTTTTTTTTTTTGGGGGGGGGGGGGTGTGGAGGTGGAAAGTGGAACAGCTTTTCCCTGATTTCTAGAACCCGGCTTCATCATCCAGCCAGACATCTGCCCTCTCAGCTATCTCCTATGGAAATTGAGCCCCAGCCCAAATAATTGTACTGGTGTTTCTTGGCCAGTCTCTAGCCTTACAAGTGAGATATTGTGCTTAATTTCTTCTTTTCTGCCTTTTCTATCTCTTGCCTTTTTTTTTTTCTTGGTGCAGTGCGTGGGCTTTATTAAGATGCTACCTACAGGATTGTCTCCTAATGCTCACAAGTGCCTCTTCCTTCCAGAGGCAGCTGGAGAAATTGCTCCTCTAAGCACCAGACACTTAATTAACAATGAGACGAACTCTCTGGTTTGCTTTCTTTCTCAGTCATTCGTCCTCTCTCACACTGTCTAGTGCAGCGAGAAAGCATGTAGCAAGGTCTTGACCAAACACTTTGAACTGCAATCATCTTGGGATACCCGAGGAAGCTAATTACCGGCTTTGTTTCTCTCTCCCTTAGCCTTCTTCTCTCTGATGACAAGCAGGTGAAGTGGGTACTCAGCTCATCTGCCTGGAGACACAAAGGCCTGCATTTCCCTCTCTCTTTCCTTGCTAAGGGGTCCCCTGTGAGATACGCTCCGTGCCCACTGATGACA